AAAAGCTATTATTGCATTTGTTGCCACCAACAAGCTATTATTATTTGTTGCCACCAACTAAAAAAGCTATTATTGCATTTGTTGCCACCAACTAGAAAAGCTATTATTGCATTTGTTGTCACCAACTAGAAAAGCTATTATTGCATTTGTTGCCACCAACTAGAAAAGCTATTATTGCATTTGTTGCCACCAACTAGAAAAGCTATTATTGCATTTGTTGCCACCAACTAGAAAAGCTATTATTGTATTTGTTGCCACCAACTAGAAAAGCTATTATTGTAGTTGTAGCCACCAACTAGAAAAGCTATTATTGTAGTTGTTGCCACCAACTAGAAAAGCTATTATTGTAGTTGTTGCCACCAACTAGAAAAGCTATTATTGTATTTGTTGCCACCAACTAGAAAAGCTATTATTGCATTTGTTGCCACCAACTAGAAAAGCTATTATTGCATTTGTTGCCACCAACTAGAAAAGCTATTATTGCATTTGTTGCCACCAACTAAAAAAGCTATTATTGCATTTGTTGCCACCAATTAAAAAAGCTATTATTGCATTTGTTGCCACCAACTAAAAAAGCTATTATTGTAGTTGTTGCCACCAACTAGAAAAGCTATTATTGTAGTTGTTGCCACCAACTAGAAAAGCTATTATTGCATTTGTTGCCACCAACTAAAAAAGCTATTATTGCATTTGTTGCCACCAACTAGAAAAGCATATTGTATTTGTTGCCACCAACTAGAAAAGCTATTATTGCATTTGTTGCCACCAACTAGAAAAGCTATTATTGTATTTGTTGCCACCAACTAGAAAAGCTATTATTGCATTTGTTGCCACCAACTAGAAAAGCTATTATTGCATTTGTTGCCACCAACTAGAAAAGCTATTATTGCATTTGTTGCCACCAACTAGAAAAGCTATTATTGTATTTGTTGCCACCAACTAGAAAAGCTATTATTGTAGTTGTTGCCACCAACTAGAAAAGCTATTATTGTAGTTGTTGCCAAATTAACTAGAAAAGCATATTGTATTTGTTGCCACCAACTAGAAAAGCTATTATTGTAGTTGTTGCCACCAACTAGAAAAGCTATTATTGTAGTTGTTGCCACCAACTAGAAAAGCTATTATTGTATTTGTTGCCACCAACTAAAAAAGCTATTATTGTAGTTGTTGCCACCAACTAGAAAAGCTATTATTGTATTTGTTGCCACCAACTAGAAAAGCTATTATTGTATTTGTTGCCACCAACTAGAAAAGCTGTTATTGTATTTGTTGCCACCAACTAGAAAAGCTATTATTGCATTTGTTACCACCAACTAGAAAAGCTATTATTGCATTTGTTGCCACCAACTAGAAAAGCTATTATTGCATTTGTTGCCACCAACTAGAAAAGCTATTATTGTATTTGTTGCCACCAACTAGAAAAGCTATTATTGCATTTGTTGCCACCAACTAGAAAAGCTATTATTGCATTTGTTGCCACCAACTAGAAAAGCTATTATTGCATTTGTTGCCACCAACTAGAAAAGCTATTATTGCATTTGTTGCCACCAACTAGAAAAGCTATTATTGTATTTGTTGCCACCAACTAGAAAAGCTATTATTGCATTTGTTGCCACCAACTAGAAAAGCTATTATTGTATTTGTTGCCACCAACTAGAAAAGCTATTATTGCATTTGTTGCCACCAACTAGCTATTGCATTTGTTGCTGCCACCAACTAGAAAAGCTATTATTGCATTTGTTGCCACCAACTAGAAAAGCTATTATTGCATTTGTTGCCACCAACTAGAAAAGCTATTATTGCATTTGTTGCCACCAACTAGAAAAGCTATTATTGTAGTTGTTGCCACCAACTAGAAAAGCTATTATTGTAGTTGTTGCCACCAACTAGAAATGCTATTATTGTATTTGTTGCCACCAACTAGAAAAGCTATTATTGCATTTGTTGCCACCAACTAGAAAAGCTATTATTGCATTTGTTGCCACCAACTAAAAAAGCTATTACAGCTGTATTGCATTTGTTGCCACCAATTAAAAAAGCTATTATTGTAGTTGTTGCCACCAACTAAAAAAGCTATTATTGTAGTTGTTGCCACCAACTAGAAAAGCTATTATTGTAGTTGTTGCCACCAACTAGAAAAGCTATTATTGCATTTGTTGCCACCAACTAAAAAAGCTATTATTGTATTGCATTTGTTGCCACCAGCCGAATCTCCTGATTTTTTCTTTTCAAACAATTGTTTACACAATTCTAAGACACTTTTCTTCCATGACATTTCCCTCACAAATGACAGAATCGAGATATTTAACATGCCGGGAGGTTCTGGAGCCCAGCAGTTAGGAAGTTAGATAAGTTTAGGCAGGTTTGGTTCATGCTATCAACCGTGTATTATCTCTGTTATGCATACAATGTGAGAAAAGTGTCATAGAAGAAAATCGTTTTATTTTTGTAAGCTTATTATTGGTAATCCTGGAGCAGATGGCAAACACTAGAACGTGTCGTTCGTTTTCATTAATTTTTTCCTCAAATTTTCTTTCGATGATAATAAGTAATAAAAACGATATGACAACACACAGAACTTAATGGAACCTGACCTAACTAGCCGAAGAATCCTAACTAACTAAACAAAGAATCCTACCTACTTAACCTTATCTAACTTCCAAGGAGGGGGGGGGCGCCGCCCTACAAACCCCCAGCGACTTTGTTGAGGTGTCGGTTGTAAACAAAGAACAGACAACAATGTGCGCTGATAATGGCATAATTTTCAGAGGAATATTTACAGTAAATAATTTATTACTTTTCATACAAAGCACGTAGCGACATCATTCTACTGTCATATGATCATTTTTTTCACCTTGTTTTACTCCACAATTTCCCTATCTTTCATACCCTGCCCACTACAGTATAAGTGATTTATGATTTTAGAGAAAAACTAAAAAAATAAATAAATAAATAAATACTAAAGTTTTGTGCTGTATTGTTTTTATTATTACTATCTTCCAAAGAACATATGTGGAAAAAAATAACGAAATTTTATTAAGAAATGAAAAAAAAATATTTATTGCCCTCACAATTTTTCTAGTACAGCTGTGGTTTTTGAATTTTCAACTCCCAATATCTCGGTTATGGATAAAATGTGCCAAAAGTGTCATAGAAGAAAATCATCTTCTGTTTGTCTGAACTTATCATCAGAAAAAGAAAACATTGTCGAATTATGTCCTCTGCTATAAATTGGCTCATCCACTGCACTCCCATTTTGTCTACTTTCCATTAAGTTTGGTTAGTTCATCATTAACTGACAGTAGACATTTTGGGAATATGGGACATTTTCAGAGGAGATATAATGCTATTAGACAAAGTGGGCATAAACCATATACTGTACACATAGGCAAAGGGTGATTTAATAGAACGATCAGTGGTGAAGAGGATAAAGTAAAGTAATATAGCAGTGGCTGGCAAGCTTTTTGTAGCATCTCGGATGTAAAAATTGGAGAGGTTATCTAGTGTGTGGTCATAAAATAATGTTTGGGACAGAAAAAGTCATAAAAAGATGTTATGAACATCTTCAAGCCTTTGATTTGATACACCCACACAGGTTTTTAATTTAAACTTTATGTAATGGTAGAAAGCCTTTGGGTTTGACCAAACGAGGTCAAGTCAAATCTGGAGGCTTTCTACCGTTAAGCAAAATCAAAATTAAAAACGCGTGTGGGCATCTCAGATCTGAGGCTTGAAGATGGGAGTTACGTAGACTTGGATCAGGAGAAGGTGGAGGCTTTAAACAAATTCTTTTTTTTAAGTATTCATGAGAGGATGCGAACAATCTTCCTTTGTTTGAGGAATGACAGTTTGACACAGACACATTTTTTTCACAGAAGAGGGTATAAGAAACAAATTGTCAAAGCTAAAGTTACGTAAGAGCCTTGGTCCTGACATGGTGTATCCCATAGTGCTAAGAGAGTTGTGCAATGAGCTTGCAGAGCCCCTTAAGATCCTATCCTATTCTATAAGTGTGTCTGTTTGTTCTAGATATAGATCCAAAACAAAAGCAGTCAGAGACCTGAAACTTTGCACACACATTACTTGGGTCCAAAGGTTGTACACCTTAGTATAAGTAGTCCTTGATATAATGAACCCCTGTGTACAGAATTTTATTCTTATGGAAATTTTATTTTAGTACTATCCAGGTTCTTTATACAGCCAAAATTTCTGCAGTTATGGAAATTATTCCAGAGAAGATAAAATTGAAATTTTATTGCTGGGAAAAAAGGCATCCAAACTTCATATAAATTAAAACCCACAAAAAACAAACAAAACAGTATCAGATGTTAATGGAAGGGCAATGATTTTTTACTGAATATTTTGAAGTTTCCATAAAGGAAGAGGAGACAGGTTCAGAAGTCTCTGAGAGTGTATCAGTATTAGATTACTACAGGCTGACCTCGCAAATTAGTGCCTCAGAAGTCTGTTTTTCCACAAAACTGTGCATTTGCATGAGTGCTTCCCAATTACCATGTTTATCACTAGTCTGTGCTCATTTGATAAAAATAAAAATAAAATTTTTATGAAATTTAAACTCCAGTGAAAATGCACAAATTGGCAGAAAAACAGGCTTCTTTAACATGTATTTCACTCTATATAAACAATGTGTCTTAGAAATAAAGAAAATATAATATAAACCTATAAAATATGAAAAGTTAAGTGAATGGGTGTGCTTGTGTGGGAAGTGAATGTATGTATGGAGGCAGTGGACTGTAACTGTGTTACCATGCTCCCTCCCCTGATTTGATGTCATGGCATACACACAATGCAGCACTGCAGCGGCCACACACATCTGAGTCAGCTGGGTGACTACCTGGCTGAAATGTCATGTCACTCAGAGCATGGTTGAGTGTGGAAGGAGCTATTTTTTGGACATGAAATACTATATGAGCAATTGTATTTTATGATATGCTATGTATAAATTTTATTGTTTTAAGATTTTGATGTTTATTCCACAGAACTGTGCTGCTTGGAAGTTCGGTTAATGAGGGATACCAATTAACACAAATTTGCGAGGTCTACCTGTATTATAGAATTCCAGGGAAAATGTGAGTCAAGGTTGAGGTGGTTACCCATGTCAGGGAGGGCAAACTGTGACAGCCAAGGCTATACAATACACCAGTGTATATACCTAACCCGTGCAAAGTTGTTTAAGTTTGTTAGTTGGAGATAAGATGAACCAACCTAACCTAACCTAACCAAACCTTACTTTATTCTCATTGCCTCTGGTCAGCTCACTAGCTAGCGCTTTTTTTCCCAGCTGAGAAAAGATGCCCCGCCCCCTCTTCAAAAGTTACAGCTGATTGGCTGTTGCAAACCTGTCCGATTTTATCCTAAAGTAGTGATGTATTTCTAAATGAGTTTATTCATAATCGTTGGGATGACCGTTTCTGATGAGAAAGATATTTAGCTAAATTATATAAAGATACATACCTTCATTATATCAAACATAAGCACATAGGAAGTTTATCAGAAGTATTATACATGGATTAACTGTTAAACTCTGGTAGCAAATTCACACTTTTGGAGGATGCATTTAATATACAGGGTATACTTATTTTTACCCACAATAAGGCATACTAAGACAAATTATGTACCAGTAATACTGTGGTCCCTCGGTTAACAAACGGTTAGATTAACAAAATTTTGGTAAACAAATTACCTCTCATAAGGATCTTCAATTCGGTTAACGAACAAAACTTCGATTAACGAAATCCTTACAAACAACAAGTTTTGTTGTGAGCATCAGCTGATGGGGTAGTCTGCCAACTCAGTAATCTTGTCTATGTTTACATTCGTTTCCAGTGGAATAAATATCAAGGAAGTTTGCTCTTTAATATTTTTGCATTGTTTATATTAAAATTATTGGTCATTCTAAAATTTAGCCATCCAAGCTCTGTCTTTATAAAGTTTTTCAAGTACAGTAATCTTTTTTGCTCGATTATGTAACTTTATTCATTTATTGGAATTCATTTACATGGATTCGGTTAATGAAATTTTCGGTTAACGAACGACTCTGTGGAACGAATTGTGTTCGTTAACCGAGGGACCACTGTACTACATTAAGCAAAAACAAAATTTTTAAAGATCAAAATCACATTGAAATATTACACGACCGTCAGCAGAGGCGGGAAATATGACTGCGAACAACTTCATATTTTTCATATTCTGGAATTTTCCGGAAAATTCCAGCTTTGGGAGCGATTTTCCCAAGGAGCACATTTTCTGGAAAATTCTGAGAAAATTTTCCCGATACCCAGAAAATTCCAGGGTTGGTGGATTTTTTTCCTGGGTTTGAGAGATGAAATAACGCATCACTCGGGAAAAATCCGAGAAAATTCCATTACCAGGAAAAATTCCAGGGATATGGGATTTCTTTCTGGGTTCAAGAGAGTATGTAATGCAAAATTTCTGGAGTCTGGGAAAATTTTCCTGATACCCGGAAAGTTCAGGTTATAAGGGAGTTTTTTCGGCTTTGAGAGAGTCGTCTCGTTACCCAGAAATTTATCATTCCCATAAATGCTCTGCACCAATTGTTCCGGCTAGTGGAGATATCACTGAATATTTGCACTGTATTTTTATATTTCAGAAAAATGTCTGACCCAGAAGCATTAAAGAAAGGGGCTCTTGTGTCTGCTGCATATGACACTTTTTTACAGGTAAGTAACAAGTTATTTGTTCATTGTACTGTATTACTGTACAGTATTTGCATTAGCTAGATTCAAATCCAACTTCAAAAAATTACAAGTACCTGTACATTGTACTGCAGAATATATGTCGATTGTGAAGAGTACCGGAGCTCTTCAACAAGCTGCTGAGAGTTTTTTTATTATTATTATGAAAGATAAAGGATACAAGATGCGAGCATTATCATCATGGACAAAGTTTTGTGAGGAATAATGCCCTAAGTGGTGCAGATTCATGTGTGTGTACAGTATTGAGTTGAATAAATTAATGCTCAACTGTATTTCAACTGTCCCAATTAAAATTTTATATATATCAGATTTTCTCTAATGTGCAAATTTTAAAGCACAGGTACTTTACATTTCAACACAGAAGTTTGTGGTACTGTACACTCGACGTGGAGGGTGCAAAGCTGGTTCCACTTTTACCGTACACCGGGTCACTGTACGACCCTAACACACAAACTAGCACGGAGCAGTTTAACAATTGCCTTATATCAATTTATACTTGGCAAAAGGACTAGGGAAGAATGATTAAGTACTGTACAAGCGTATTACTATAGAGTATAGACCAATGTGTCTGTTGATGGATGATGAAGATGAGTGATGTTAATATCCTGTATATGAGATAAAACAAACCATATAGAAGGTGATTCTGAATTGAGTACAGTGATCCCTCGGTTAACGAACGCCTCGGTTAACGAAATTTCGGTTAACGAACTGCCTTCCATAAGAATCTTCAATTCGGTTAACGAACAAAAATTTGGTTAACGAATTTCTTACGAACCGACCTTAACATGTTTTCGCTTGCACTGGCCGGGCAACCAGCTTTAGTATCAGTCCGCCAATACATTAATCGGTTCTAGGGCTTAAATTCCTTACTATTTTAGTAAATATCAAGAAGTTTATACTATTCAATAATTTTAAAAGTTTAATATTCAATTTTTTAGTCATTTTAACAATTATTGAACATAATTGAAGGTAAAGTGACTAGTTTAATGCGCGGCATCTAGCCTCTTAACACAGCAAAGAGGCGTTAGTCTCTCTCTGTTTTCACTGGAGGTAACATCTTGCTTGAGACTCTCTTCAACTAAACGCTTTTTTTCTGTGTTTCCAAGCAAATTATTGGTCATTTTGAAATATATTTTACATATTGACAATATATAATGCAGTGCAGTGTTGATTTAAAGAAAATAATCTTGAAATACACCAAGAGAACTAAAATTTTATGGGTGAAATGGTGCCATGGGGTGACTTTTCTTCCACCCCAATGCCTTCTCCTCTTCCTTCTCCTCCACCCCCATTCTAATTCCCATCATCATCATCATCATCATCCAGGAGCCTTCTACATACACATCTCAAAGTAAGTGAACTTTTCTCCCATTTTTGTTTAATTTAGGAAATTTTCGGTGAGCTGGAACCAATTACCCAAAAACCCATTGAAACAATGGTTTCGGTTAACGAACGACCTTCTGGAACGGATTGAGTTCATTAACCAAGGGACCACTGTTTAGTAAGTTGCATGTTGTATTCCTGGGACAGTTTTAAGACACAATGTCAGTATGACAAAATGTCGGAATCTGCATAGTTTTCTAGCTACAGTACTTGAAAAGCGTTGAAGATAAAGATGGTGAGGTTGGAGGAAAACAGCTCTGAATTTATGTGTAATTTTATGCATGTAACTTACACAATGTGATACAGTTGCATTATTACATTAAATGTTCAAAATTCCCTCCCTCTTTCTCTAGAATATGGAGTGACAGGCCTAAAATGTACATTAAAGCCTCTATAACTGACTGTGGAGACTGTTCAGATCACTATATTCACCTCTAAAAGTAGCTTTAACTGTATACTGTAACATTAAAACTTAAAATTGTAGGCATATAAACATCAATAACAAAAGTCCAAAAAGAGTAAAAATTATGTACCGGTAAGTTCATGTACAAACTGTGTCGCAGTCGCCACAACTTAACTGTCAGTTTTTACAGTTAGCATTATCAGGGATTCAAGCTAATGTACTTTCTGTGAACTGCTGCAAAATTTGTACTGTATGTATAATAAAGGTATGTAGTTATGTATCGTAGCAGATATTATTTTCAATTATCTGAATTCCTATGGGGTCCCCACATTTGAATTGCACCAATGCCCCCACAGGTCTTAATGCATCCCTGATACACACACACACACACACACCGTTGTTTAAGTTAGGATATAAGTTTATTGGTTATCACACCCAGGTCCCTTGTGTTACATATCTTCCATATCTTTGATAATTATGGAGTCATTCATGATTTTCTCTGGTGGGATTTCAGTACAAACTCTAAAATCTTTGACTTCTTCCATTAACTGCATAATTTACTCAAGATTCCTGAGGCAATATATCAGACGTCTGGAAAATCCTCTGTGGTTGAAAGACTTGCTACTCATCCACTACAGAATCTACTTTGGTAGCCATCTTTGTTATTTTTATGCACTCAGTTGTTTGTTTAGTTATTTGATATATGGCCAGTATGCTAACATAAGAATACAGAAGGTGTTCTTTCCTTCCCTTCATCCTTTTTTTTTTCTTGGACTTCCCCAGCCTGTTGTTCCTTTCCCCTTTTCTTAATCACTTTACCTCTCCTTCCTTTTTCCCCTTCTCATCTCCTTCAGTTTGTTCTGTCTTCACTTCCTTTTATTCTTACTCTTCCTCTTCTTTCTCTTTTCCATTTCCTTCCCTTTCTCATCTTTCTATTTTCCTCATCCTATTCTCTCTGTTCTCCCATTTGTTCCTCCTTAACCTCTTGCTCCATCTCATTTTTACTTATTACTCTCTCCTTTCTTGTATTTTTAATTTTTCAGTGTCTCTTATTGATTGACCTATTCTACCGCAATATGTCCTTTAAACATCTTAACTAAGTCTTTGAAGAAATAAATTGTATAACGTTGTTGAATGCCTGAACTGTACTTCAGTTCTCATTGCATTTTTTCAATGAAACGTCATTAACAAATAATACCTGATATATGCAATTTCTATTTTGCTACTTTGACACTAAAAAAGTTCAAACCACAGTACAAAAGAAATTGTGTGATATCGTTGCCGACAACTGATTGCTCAAACTTCAACATCGCATCCACTGTCACTGAATTCATCTCAATAAGAGAGCATTAAGTAACATTCCATGTGATTATTTTTACACCAATCTTTCAAAAGACCCTTTACCGTTTGTGGAAAATGTTCAGAAGTACTACTAGTACTCGTGCAATTTCCCCTGCTAAGGTGTCTAAGGTGTATGCAATCTTGATTATCTGTGTTCATTTAATTGATTGTTAATGCCTTTCATAAAATGTGGTCTGTATTGATTTGTTTAATTTTTGTCTCCTAAAGATAGGTCAAAGTACCAAAAAATGGGAAAAATATGTCCTGTGTACGGTATGTCTGTCCGATTTACATGGCTTTTTCTCGGAACACATTCCATAAAAAATCATCCACTTGCTGAATATCATACTGTACAGTACACTTATCCATTAATTTTTTATTTTTCCTTTATATTTCTGAAAGGTTGGGCTACGAATCCTGTCTTTCATACTGAATGCATTTATTGTACGTCATGTCAGTCGAGAGGTGTTTGCAGTGATGACAGTTCGGCTTCACTTGCTGTATGCCACAGGACTATTGTTGTCACGAGAGGCCTTCAGGCGAGCAGCCTTAAGCTCGAAAGCGTCTGTGGAAATCCACAAGCTTATTAATTTGGTGTGGATAGGGTAAGTGATGATCTGTATCTTTCCAGTTTTATCTGTATATTATGTTTTCAAATCAGAGCTTAGAGTCTGTTTGAGATATGCTGAAAAAATTTTTTGCTTTAGGTAGCAATGCATACAAAATGATTAGTAAATTAATGCAATTACCAGTATTTATTTTTATAATTCATTATATCAAATTAACAAGAGTAGATGTAATTTTAGGTAAATTTTTAATATTGGCATCTTAGTAATTACAGATTGTTACAGTAAACCCTTGCTATTCGCGAAGGTTAGGTTCCAAGGAATAGTGCGAATTGGCAGAACCGCAAATAGCAACTTAAACTACCCAAGTGCACTAATGTATACCTGTACAGTGGTCCCTCAGTTAACGAACGGTTCGATTAACGAATTACCTCCCACAAGGATCTTCAATTCGGTTAACGAACAAAATTTTGATTAACGAAATCCTTACGACAAACACATTTTGTTGTGAGCATCAGCTGATGAGCTGATGGGCTGGTCTGCCAATTCAGTAATCTGTTCTATGTTTACTGTACATTCGTTTCCAGTGGGGTAAATATCAAGAAAGTTGTGCTCTTTAATATTTGTGCATTTTTTATATTAAAATTATTAGTCATTTTAAAATTTACTTAATATATTGATAATATATGCAGTACAGGGAACTAGTTTTTTTTGTGCCCATCAGCCGCTTGACTCACCCACCAGGCGTCAGTTTGGCTTTGTTTACAGTGGAGTGAACATCGATTTTGTTGGTGTCTTGAATATTTTTACATTAAACTTATTGGTCTTTCTGAAATTTAGTTCATATATTGATAATATATAGCGCAGTGCAGTGTTGATTTAAGTAAAATAATCTTGAATTACACCAAGTGAACTTAAAATTTTATTGGTGAAATAACTGCATCAAGCATGGGTCCCCTGAAAGGTGATTTCTCCTCCATCCCCACTTCCTTCTCTTCTCCCTTCTCCTCCACCCCCACTTCTAATTCCCATCATCATCACCAACCAGGAGCCTTCTCCATATGCTGTTTGAAAATTAATTTAGGAGGTATCAGATTAAATTCTTCCTTTGTATCAATACTGTACAGTATGTCTGTCTGTTTGTGCACACACACACATGAATTGGGCATTATGTATTTCTGTAATAAACACTAAGATCATTAACTTTCCCATCCTGTGCTAACTTCTCTCCACCTACCATGTAAAATATTAGGTTACATTCAGTAATTTTTTCCTTTTATGACTTTCTTTTAAATAGGTGATTGTCTTGTTTTGATGAAAAGATTATATTTATATTTTCTTTCATAAATAGTCAGAGTTAGAGAGGTACTACTTAATGATACATTTTGACACTGTCAACCATAGTACAGTACAGTACACAAGACTACAAATGCCAGTGAAGATAGTCCTTGTTTGTTGCAAATTTGCATATCACAGTTTCAATTTATTGCATTTTAAGTTTGATGAACAAAATATTCAATTATCCCAACATAGAACAGTATTTCAGGCAGTGACTAAACAAATTGGAATTACAAAAGCATTCTTTTTATTTATATCAAAGAATCAATTTTGTTGAAGCAATTTGCATAATTTGAAATGTAGATACAATATTAAAATGACAAATCTTAGGAAAATTATAATACTGTATAGTGGGTTTGCGATAATTCATGGGTTAGGTACCATAAAACCTCATGAATTATCATATCACGAATTAGAGTTTAATGATTAAAATGGATACATATAATTGTTAGGGCCCAGAAGCCAAAAAATACGCACAAACTTTTTTAAAACTGTTTTAATAAATGCTAATTATCATACATAATACATAAAAAAGTACAGTAACAAAGACATTGTACAAAAAGTAGTAATGTATTATTATAGGAGTTTCTGCCCTTCTCATAATCATCCTGTATGTGGCACTATTACACCAACATGGAGACAGGCAGGTGCCAGGACTGGCTGGTTGGTCAGCAGTTTGCCTATGTAAACAATGCACCAGGAATTTTAATTTGACTCAATAACTCGTGTGATGTTGTGTGTGGTATTTTTTTGGGGTATTTTTTTTATTATTTTACGATAATGTTTTATTAACCTGGCACTAAATGAACATAAATACAGTAACATGGGAATTATGGTGAAATTGTATACTGTTACTGTATTATCAAGGGGTCATGTGGGAGGGAGAGGATTTTTCTTTTTTAGCCACCCAGCAGCCAGCCACTTTCCACTCTTCATTTTTCTTATGCTATACAGTAGTTTTATACTGTACAGTAATCCCGTGTTTTTCGCGGGAATTATGTTCCTGACACCCCCGCGAAAAGCCAAAACCGTGAATATTCTTTTTGGAATCACTGTACCTGTGGTCACCAAACAGCTCAGGTAGGTCATGCACTTAACCATGCCATGCTCTCCATTGCCCAGTGGTCACACTGATCACTGATGCACTGTACCGGCATTTACTAACATCATTATTTGAAACTACAGTCATGCGCCGCTTAACGTCCTAGATACGTTCTTGGAAACGTGACTTTAACCGTATTGGTCGTTGTCCGAACATCACATTGTGAACTTTGTATTTATACTTACGTGTATGTGGAATATTGCAGTGTATGTACTTGTACTGTACAATATTGCCTCGTCGGCGAGGCAAAACCAAGCATACGGTACACTGTTATACAGTTTGTAAACTTTTTATTTTGTAAGTAAAGAAATCAAATTAAAAGTACTGTACTGTACACTACAATAGCCAAAAAACATAAACCAGTTACATAGACATTTCTTATATTTATCAAAACATATTATGGATACCTGTATATAGTTACTGTACTGTATCATTATACGCCTGGCAGCACAATCTATAAGAACACGCGATGCATGCGTGACCGCGCCCACTCTAAGGCCACTTATGTCCGCTACGTCCCGTTGTATGAATTTTTTTTCCCCCATATTTTCATGGGCCACGGACATATGTGCGATCGGACGTTGTTCGGACGGACGTTAACCGGCGCATGACTGTAATCATATTGTAGTATAATAATGGAAAAATGTAAACACAGTTATTACAAAATAAATTTATTTACAAGTAAATAAAAAAATTATATTTCGCTGAGGCCGGCAACACCCGCATTGCCAGCCTCTCCCTGCTGTACCGGCGTCTGCCCGTCCTCTTCCACCCACATTCCTCCACTTGAACGCTTGTATTCTGATAAAAGACACAAATGAATTGTCAGTCTTCACCACCAAACAGGGAGGTACTACCGCCTGGGAAGATATTGGAAGCATAATGTGTTGTTTATGATAGACCCTGCTGCCACATGGCATCACAAAAATTGTAACCAAGTCCCAGGTTGCTGATCTGACTTTCTGCCTCATTTACACATAATTGCAGGGTCTCAATTGTTTCACTTACTATTGACAATATAACATACATATATTGTTTCTTACATTTGATCTTTTTTTCATTTTTGTGTTTCTTTATGGTTCTTTATTATTATTATTATTATTATTATTATTATTATTATTATTATTATTATTATTATTATTATTATTATTATTATTATTATTATTATTATTATTATTATTATTATTATTATTATTAATTATTATTATTATTATTATTATTATTATTACAGTTTCGCCTCCTGGGCCCTGATGTGGGTCAGTGACCTGTGCCCGGGTGGGCTAATCCCCGTAAAAAAAAAAAAAATAAATAAATAAATAAATAAATAAAAAATCTCGAGCCATAGCTCATACCACCTCTGAGCTTGTCCAATATAACTGTTTTTTCCATTATGGTCATCACTATTCTTGATCTCTTGGTTACTTTAGAGTCTTTGCTAGTAATATTTGCCTTTGATGAGGCTGGCTTATGTCCCGGAGCCATGTGGAATGCACGTGGGAGGACAAACAGAAGAGGTAATCACAGTAGCGTTCAGAGTACGGTAAGCACGTGTGGACTGAGGCTTCTCGGAGCAGCGAGTGTCTGAGGCGGGAAAGGGTGGCGTCTGTGCTGCACCGCACAGGGGAATATAAAAAATGGCGCAAAATTAAAATTTTTGTTTTTAAAGGATATTTTATATACAGTATATATAATTTTTTAGTAAAAAAATTGCGAATGGTCAAAACCGTGATAAAAAACCCGCAAAAATTGCCGGATTACTGTATTATATTTTCTTCATTTCTAAGTCACATTAGGTCATTGAAATTATATTTCCACAACTTTTATGGTTTCTTATGTAATAAGGGTTACAACGGTCAAGTGATACAGCATTTGCCTCCTGTTCCATGGGCCAGTGGTTCGATCCTTGGGCACTCCCAGTTCACACAAGCTGTAAATGGTACCTAACTTTACAACTTGGGGAAATAAATGCAGTTGAGTGCAATACCAGCCAGTCTGCCTCCTTGTGCATTCATGTCTATGGGACTCATTTTCACTTTCATGTAAATAAGTACTGTATACCTCTGTGCTGCACTGTGGCAGCTGGCAGCCGGCCTCGAATTTTGAGTATTTGACTGAAATTTAAAAAAGAAGTAGTACTGTAATAGAGGTACAGTACTCGCAAATTTAAGAACGTGAATTTGAATTTTGTGAATTATCACAACTCGACTGTAATTGAGAAATGTCTTACTTGTTGTGTTAAAGTCATCACAATAAATACAAAATATATTATTAATGTTAAAAAATTTAAATTCCTCAGGTTGTTAGTGTCAGGGCCTGTTTGTGTACTGGGCTGGTATATCTGGCAGTATGTTATGAAAAGGCCACCAGATGCTGTGACCACCGACTATGATGCTGGGGTTATCTTTATGGTAATGAGTATTGTTGTGGAGGTGGCAGCTGAGGTACCTTTTGTCTTAGCAGAATTACAGCTGTGGAACAAAACAAAGGTAGGCATTTAAAAATTCTGGTTCCCATTTTGATATTTTATTACAACAAAACCAAATGAGATGCAGTGATAAAGTTTTTGCATTTGTCACAAATTAAAAAAATTCTTGTATTCTTCTGTACACTTCAACATGTGTACCCTTAGTGATACATAGGATATCCAAGTACGTACAGTAATATGCTGCTCTAACATCAGGGTTCACTGGAAAAAGAGGTAACAAAACCAATCCTCCATGTCACATTACCAGTAAAATTCAGGTGGGTTCTATGGGGATTGATACATTTTCATTGGATTGGAATGAATGGAAAAAATATGGAGATGTTTGCTCTTTCCCTCAAATATACAGCAAATATTTACGAAGCTGCAGCATTTCCCTGGGATTATTACATTGATAGCTCCTTTATTACCTATTTGGATTTGTTTTCTATTATTATACTTTGTTAGAATCCTATTCACATCTCATCTTCAACTTTGAGTCAGAAGCAGAGAGAGTTAATTTCATGTACTTGTCCTCAATTTTACAAATTACAGTACGTTCATGTTTGGATTTTGTTAGGTACGGTAGTATTCTGTACCAGGTTTAGTGTTGTAGCTGGGCATTTTGGAAGATTAGTTTTGAGAATCATCTTTGGATCAGATGTTCCTTGGATGTTCTGGCAAGTTTTTAAACTGTTAGCTAAAATCTGTTTGAGTTTAGGACTGGATAATATCAGATCAGAATATGGAATTTCCCAGGTAATCTTTAGTTGTTACCAGTATTTACAGCTTATTAATTGTCACATGACCTGTTTGCTTTGGGATCTTGTTCATCAAGGGCTCTGCATCATGACGGCCCTTAGTATCTAACTTAGTATGGAACTGTAATACTGGGAGCTAGTAACTTCCATATTCTTATGGACTTACCCTACTCTTTGTGTACAGTAGAACGTCGATTTAAAGCGATTCAATATAAGACTATTGATTTAAAGCGACACCCACAATTAAGGACAATGTTTTAATTTATAGCGATTCTCCTATTTTGCGCGAGTCAATCTGGTGCATCATATTTAAAATTTTGCACCTAATGTTTCTCTGGGCATGCTACACTGTCCTAAGGGTAAAGCTGTACTGTACATGTACAGAAAATAATGTACTAAATGATTACTAAAATTTTTGTCGAGTGCAAACCATAGCATGATTATATTCAAATTAATCACTATCTTATAAGAATTCCAGCAATGTAAATTATATTCTCCCTGGTCACTTTGACTTTTTATAATAATAAAAAAAACCCTCAAGCTAAAGGACATAAATAAACAAATAAATACTTCACTAGACCTTCAGTGCCAACTGTCAAACATATCACTGTCATCCCCCATTTTCCCAGCCAGGGTTTGATGTTTTAGGCTTAAAGTTTTTATCTTGTATAATGTCACAGACTGAAGTTAGGAGAATATAATTTGTATTGCACGAATCCTTGCAACACAGCGAATAATTTGAATACAAACATCATATATTTTGCACAAGAGATAAGAAATTTTGCTCTCTGTAATAAAATTCTTAAATTAGAACTAAAATTTGTGTCTAATAGCAATGTTTATATTCAAATTAATCACTATCTTATAAGAATTCCAGCAATTTTAATTGTATTCTCCCATGTCAGTTCAGTTACATTTTATAAGAGAAAAACTTAAGTCACTCTTAAGGACAGATTAATAAATAAGCACTAGACCTTGGTTTCAACTGTCAAACATATCACCTCACCTCCCTGCCTCCCCCCCATCTTCCCAGCCAGTAAACAGACCATTTCCCATCCCTTAATTTTAGCTGTGTTGATTTATGAGTGTTTGTTTTAACATAATACTGTACTACAAAAAATAATCTTTTGTTTATTCTAGGAGATGGGCTGAGGTGCATCTGGGTAGACTCAGTGTTTTTAGTATTTTGTGTTTCTCTCAAGAACCAAACTAAATTATTCCATTGAAATAACACTTCGATTTAGTGCGAATTCGGTTTAAAACGACCTCTCTTGGAACCTATCTCGTATTATATCGACGTTCGACTGTATTGGATATTGTATATTATGGGTTAACTCCCAAAGTGTGTTGTGTTGTAGCAACAGTTGGAGCATTCATAGTACTACTACTTCCCATTGTCTGCCTGGATTAAGTTATGGGAGTCACCTGACTGAGTCCACTAGGCTATAAATGAGGGATTGATACTGAAATAAAATTTTATAAGTAAGCTCATAGCTGGACAATTTAGAAACCTGCCCTTGTAAATATTAGCAGGATATCAACAGGGAATTTAGTAATGTATTGCATCTGAAATCTGGTCATCTCATAGCAGCCAAATGCCATGGTGTATATGCACGAGTTAGTATGATGTCACATTTTGTTAGTATCCTACTATTGCTGGTGACCTTTGCAACCAGTTATTCCTTTTGAAGTGTGGTAGTTGTAATGGGGAGGTAAAGGAATCAACAGATAAAAGATATACACATATGATTTTCTTACTGTTACAGGTTGTGATTGAGGGATTAATGCAAGTACTGCGCTCTATACTTCTGGCAACATTTGTGTATATTTGGCCCATGCATGGTGTTTTAATGTATGGCATCAGTCACATTGTTGGCTCACTAATATATTGTGTGTCATATTATGGGCTGTTCATTCAAATCTTTCACAAGAAGGAGGAAGTCGTGAAGTTACCAGTTAAAGGAATTAGGCAACTGTTTCCTAGATGGAAACCAGGGAGATTATTGGTAAGTCAGCAGTAAATTGTTGATTTTTATTATTACAGTGTTTATTTTAATTGTCATACCTAAAGGTGATTTATTATACCTTAGATATAATAGAAGTTATCAGTTTGATTTAAGCATAATTTGGTAACCAGGGAAAGTGTTATTTACATTTAGCAACTTGACTTGCTGATTCATATCAGTGTTTGTGACTGTCCAAGTTTTAAATTGGACATTTTTATGAATAAATCCCCAATGAATAACCGATGATAGCCAAACAAAAAAATTTCCCCAATCCTTATGGGCACCAGTTGTGATAGGTCCAAATCCTTATAGACCCCAGTCTTAATGAGTGGTGCTGGGATAGTTTCCACAATCCACGCTTCCACTCAAGTGGCTTCCTCATTGGACTGGAGTGATTCTTTTTTTATTTATCAAACCCTGAACTTTGATGGCTTTAAACAGAATTTTATTTTCTATAAGATGGTAAGATTATTTATTTATTTTTTTAAATACCTGGTACAGTAGAATGTCGATTTAAAGCGATTCAATTTAAGATTATTGATTTAAAGCGACACCCACAATTAAGGACAATGTTTTTATTTAAAGCGAATCTTTCCTATTTTGCACAAGTCAATCTGGTGCATCATATTTTAAAATTTGCACCTAATGTTTCTCTGGGCACGCTGCACTGTCCTGAGGGCGAAGCTGTACTGTACATGTACTCAAAATAATGTGCTAAGTGATTATTAAAATTTTTGTCTTCTGCAAACTATAGTATGTTTATATTCAAATTAATCACTATCTTATAAGAATTCCAGCAATGTAAATTATATTCTCCCTGGTCACTTCTGTGACATTTTATAAGCAAAAAACATAAACTTAAGCTAAAGGACATAAATAAACAAATAAATACTTCACCAGAACTTTCTGCGCCAACTGTCAAACATGTCACTGTCACCCCCCCATCTTCCCAGCCAGGGTTTGGTGCTTTAGGCTTAAAGTGTTTATCTTATATAATGTCACAGACTAAAGTTAGGAGAATATAATTTGCATTGCTGGAATCCTTGCAACACAGCAAATAATTTGAATATATACATCATATATTTTGCACAAGAGATCAAATTTTTTGCTCTCTGTAATAAAATTCTTAAATTAGAACTAGAATTTGTTTGTCTAATGCGAGCTATAGCATGTTTATATTCAAATTAATCACTATCTTATAAGAATTCCAGCAATGTTTAATATATTCTCCCATGTCAGTTTAGCGACATTTCATAAGAGAAAAACTTAGTCACTCCTAAGGACAGATAAATAAATAAGCACTAGACTTTGGCATCAACTGTCAAACATATCACCTCACCTCCCTCCCTTCCCCCCATCTTCCCAGCCAGTAAACAGACCATTTCCCATCCCTTAATTTTAGCTGTGTTGATTTATGAGTGTTTGTTTTAACATAATACTACAAAAAACAATGTTTTGTTTACTCTAGGAGATGGGCTGAGGTGCATCTGGGTAGACTCAGTCTTTTTAGTGTTTTGTGTTTCTCTCAAGTACCAAACTAAATTATTCCATTGAAACAACACTTTGATTTAGTGTGAATTCGTGAATTCGGTTTAAAGCAACCTCTCTTGAAATGTATCTCGCTTTATATCGACGTTCTACTGTAATGTATTTACCTGTCCGGCAGGTAATATCTCCGTTAGCTGGAATCCCTCAAACCCGAAACTCTCCAATAGCCAGAATTTAAATTTGCTTAGAATTTTTCCGGAAAATTCTCTAAATTCCGGAGCATTTTCTGAAAAAAAAAAATCTGGTATCTGTCCCAAATTTTATTTCTGGGTCTGGGAGCAAATGGCGATTATGAAATAATGCGCAATTACCAGAAAATCTGTGAAATTTGCAAGAAAATAACTCCAAACGTTTTTACTCAGGGCCTGGGGACAAGGGCTCCTGGTGTTATGGAAGATTGCATCATGTTTAGCTGCATCCTCTCATGGTTGGTACCTGGCTGGGAAGACCAACTGCTTGGGTAATGCTGGATTGTTCTGCTCTGGGTCTGTTTATAATTACTGTGCAAATATAAATATTTCTTTAAATGTACATGCAATACTAAAAAAGTAAAATAATACAGTACAGTAATAAATCAAAGTAATTCCGAGCTGAGCTAACGAGGCAAAGGGTGAGGTGACGAGTCAGGTGGTTAGGTGACATGCCAAGACACTTACACAGCACACACAGCACTACTAAACCATTGTCTTATAACATTTTACTTTATAATATATATTGTAAAATTAATTGATACATGATGGCTTGATTTGCCTACTTTTGCACGTAGACAACTGATCATTGAATACACCAGGGCATTTGGAGACACATTATGCACTCGTGATATTACGAAGATTTGCAACTACTGTACAACTGCTGAGCAACCGCATAAATTATCACAACCTGTACTCAAATGTACTAAGTTAATTACTAAAAATTTTATGTTTAGTGCAAACTATGAGATGTTTATACTCAAGTTAATCACTATCTTGCAAGAATTCCAGCAAGTTATATGCTGCTAAATCAAGTCAGTCACATTTTATAAGTGAAAAATTTAGACTCCCTGTCTTGTATAATTTATTCCTGAGTCCCTGACCTATCACGTTTCTACCGACAACTAGGCGTTAATCTCCCCTCCTGGCTGTCAACACCCCACATCCCCCTCCCCCCAGCTAGCAAGTGATAACAATTAATGGGATGAAGATGGTTTTAGGCTTAAAGTTTTTCTTTTATAAACTGTCACAGACTTGACTTAGCAGAATATAACTTGCATTGCTGGAATCCTTGCAAGATAATGATTTATTTAAGTATAAACATCCCAAGAAAGGGTGACCTAACATCTCATCGGAAGGTCCGTAATATGAGACCACTAATCCCCCACCCTACCTCCACTTGACATTGCATCAGGTCAGGTCAGTTCAGTTACATTAGACCCACTTATCCCCCACAGCTCCATGGGAGTGGAAAATACCAGTCTTTGCTGTAACACAGCTTCATTGACGCCTGTATCATATAGATTTTTTATTTTTAAATATATTTATTAACCAAACTTTGAGATAAAATATTCTGGATTATTATAGAAAAGAAATTGAGTTTCTAACTTAATTAGAACTGCATTTATGGACTCCAGTAGTTTAAACTCAAGGAAAATATCCCCAGCACCCAGAAACTTTTTGGGGAAGTGGGTGAATGTGCGTGTGTGTAAGATGTCTAGTTTAGACACTCGGAAACTTTTCCCAGTAACCGGAAACGATTCCGGGGATAAGGAATTTTTCAGGGTTTGAGAAAGTCGTCTGGTTAGCCAGAAATCTCTCTTCCCCGGAAGTGTTGTGCACCAATTGTTCCGGCTAACAAGGGTATCACTACAATACAGTATATACATAATGACTACGAGTTACCATCGCCATTAGTAAAGGATTAATAGGGTCACAGTAAATTTATTTGCATGGTAATTTTATGTGACAGTATTTTTTCATAAGTTCATGTCATAACATGTATCGTACCTTACCTTCAGAAATATATAGTAATTTTATTTTCAGCCTGAAGTGGACAGTGAATTAGGAACCATATCATGGAGTTTTTTTAAACAAGGATGGTTAAAAGAAGCACTGACAGAGGGTGAATTTTATCTCATGAATTTCTTCTCATTGATATCCTTAGCCCAACAAGGTGAATATCAGGTAAGTGATGTTTTGTTTTGTCACAGTTTGTAATATACAATATGTTAGAAGAATTTAATTATCCAGTAATGAACAATAAAAATATGATAGAGAAAGTAAACAATTAAAACTAGTAGAATCCTGGTTATCTGGAATTCATGCAACCGGCAGATTCAGCTAACTGGCACCAAAGTGAAATAATAATAATAAAAAATTCTCCAAAATCAGCTAGAATCGTAAGTTTGAATACCTCGCACAATGAGGATGAGCTGCCATATTTATTGCAATGATGGAAAATAAAGTCGATACATAGCATATCATAAAATACAATAGCACATATTTTAAGTACAAAAAATATCTTCCACATTTAAGCCATTCTCTGGGCAACATGACACAGTTCAGGCAGTCACCAAGCTGACTCACAGATGTGTGGCTGCCACACTGGTTGTGTGTATGTCGTGACGTCACATCGTGAGAGAACGCAGCCATGCCCTATAGCCCAGTAATCCACCACCTCTACACACATACACTTCCCATATATACATGCCCATGCTCTTTATTTTTCTTATTTTATAGTTTTATATTTTCTTTATTTCTAAGCCACATCATTTATATAGAGTGGAATAAGTGTTAAGGAAGTCCATTTTTCTGAGACACAAATTTGCCAGGTCAGCCTGTAGCACTGTGCATTGTAGAATTTATTGGGGGATCCTAAGAGTGAGATTCACCTAACCAGAAAACCTCTTTATCTGTCACCTTTCAATCCCCATAGTTGCTGGATAACCAGGATTCTATTGTACAGATTAACTGTGTGTACAGTCAAAGATAAAAATCGTGTCGAGGTTTTGTCCGAAGATTAAATATAACTTGTGAAACATTATGAGAGCCCTACCACAAGGCAGAGCACCCCAAAAGTTTTAGCCCTTCGGCATATGTTTTCACCAAATTTCACGACACGACTTTTGTCTTTCATTGTACAGTATTGTCTCGGTTTTCGCGGTCAATTAAACCCGTGGAGGTCCGCGTAAAACGAGAAACGCGTAAATGAAATAACAGAACATATGGGGTTAATTGAAATAGAGACTGGGCCGACTCCCAGACTACCCTGTTTCCGACACAATACCTACATTGTAGTAAAAATAACATCTTAATTTTATGATGGTATGCACACACAATTAATATTTAAGAGAAATATCAATAATATTATTGTAGGTTTTTTAACACGTCCGTTAGTAGAAGAGATGGCTGGGCACACGGGGATGGGGGGTTCGTTCCAAGGCAGAGGGCAGATTATTGGCCCTCACCTGTATCACTATCCACCACAGAGGCTTGCAGGCCTCTTTGTCAAACCCCTCAAAGTCCATATCCTCACTATCACTGACTTGGGCTGGCTGTGGTGGGTGAAGAATTCGGTAATGTTTTGTTGACTGGGCGACCTTGTGCGCACCCTGCCGCGCCGCTTCCCGCGTAAATGATGGAATGTACCGCGTAACTAATAATTGCCGGTCTGGCCAGGTGCCGCGTAAAGGAAATCCGCGTAAATCGAGACTATACTGTACAGTGAGTTCTGCTATAACGCGTGTTTTGATAACGCGAATTTGCTCTAACGCGATTTATGAATTAGGAACGATATTGTATAACGCGAACGCTTGTTTGATATAACGCGATTTTTGCTTACTATTTCTCCAATTTTGTGGTACAGTGGGGTATTAGGGTGTGTCATAGGAGGGAAGATCAGCTAAAACTATTGGCCCATCACTTTTTTGGTAGATTTTAGTGTATATAAACAGAAAATAATTTCAGTTTCAATATTTTGCAACCTTTTGCTAGGTAAATTTTAGCGTGAAATTTATCGAAAATCTAACGTACAGCTGCATTAGTGCATTACAATTAAATAGTGAACATTGCTTTCTGACTTCATTCTTTAACAACCCAACTAACAATATTTTTTTCTGTTTCAGATTCTGATGCATTTATAAGTTGAAAATATTTGCGATGGCTGCTTGTGTCAGGACGAGGAACCAAAAATCCAGCCATCTCAGTCACTATCTTGGGTCTGGGAGAGAGCTCCTGAAGTCGAAGTTGCCTACATTGAGAGATGTTTTAATCAGGCAAATCAGTGAAAAGAACCAAAGAACTTACACAAACAAAGACATTGCCAGTGATATGACCAAAGCTGTCTTGGCACAGTACACTCTGGCTAACGCTCAGTTCAAGCCTCCAGTCATAACAAGTCAGAAGAAGATTAGTGAGAGACTGCTAGCCAGTTGGGAAAAGGCAAGAGATATCTCTCTTGGGAGAGGAAAACTTGCAGTTATGACAGCTTTGCCAAGCAACTGGACCAGTTATTTGACATAATTACTTGCAAGTGCCCAATTGTTCTCTGTCCTGAGTTTGGATGCGATCGTGACTGTAAATCCGAGGCCCACATCTCCTGTATTTGCAAGCGTGAACTGAAGATTCCTGTGATCGAACTGGCATTTGTCAAAGCACAGAGAGAGAAGACTGGCAGTATAGGGGCTCTCATGATTTCTAGCCAAGATATTCCGGAGTCCAAGAGACAGGAGGCTGCCACAGAGAGACAGAAGAGGAGAAGAGTTGCCGAGGAAAAGAGACTTGAGAAGGCCCAGGGTGAGGTAAAAAAGGCCGATGATTGGAGTCAAGCTGATTCAGAGTTTAATGACTTCCCCATGGCTGATCCGAGTGCTGACCAGGAGAATGGTGACTTTGTCCCTAACCCAGAAAATAATGATCCCAAACCTTCCAGGCATAAGATTCGAAATAGGAAAGATATCCCGAGCATAGCTCTGGCCAGCATGCGACACCACACTGGTCTCAGAGAAACTGCAGAGATAGCAACAGCTGCCTGGATTGGCGGTGGTTTGATAACACCTGATGATGTTCACCTGGTGATAGATCAGTAACAAAGTAAGGAGAGCTCAGGAGAAACTTGTCAGTAATCTAGAAGAGGAGTTTGATAAGGGATAAGAGAAAATGGAATCAATTGTTTGTTCTTTGATGGGAGAAGGGATGACACTAAAGTGTTCATGAAAGTTGGAGATTCTGACAAGTTGTTCCCTGCCATGGTGAAGGAGGAACACTACTCCTGCTGCAGTGAACCAGGAGGGAAGTATTTGTGGCATTTCACTCCAGAGAAAGATGACATCAGGAAACCAGCTGAGATAGTGGCAGATAACATTGTGAACTGGCTCAGAGAGAGGAACGTAGACCAGACCCTGCAGGCCATTGGAGGGGACAGCACCAACACGAACACAGGGTGGCAAGGGAGGGTCATACAGTGGATAGAGCGGAAGATTGGGAAGAAGCTGGTCTGGATTGTTTGTGACCTCCACACCAACGAGTTGCCACTCAGACATCTGATCCAGGAGCTGGATGGCAAGACTCTTTCAAGCAACAGATGGTCTGGTCCTCTTGGCAAGATGCTGGACTCTGCCACTGAGTTAGAAATAAATCCGAGCTTTGAAAAAATCACAGTTGGCCCTCCACTCGTTGAGCTTGCACATACTGTCATTGACGACCTGAGTACTGACCAGTACTATGGTTACATGATTTGCAGTGCTATCAAAACTGGGGTCATGCCTGATAGACTTGCTTACCTGCAGATAGGTCCAGTCTCACATTCTAGGTGGCTCACAACGGCTCTCAGGTTCTGCAGAATTTGGGTCTCTCATCATAAACTGAAAGGAAACCAGCTTCACAACCTAAGACTTATTGTCCAATTCATCGTGAGTGTCTACTTGCCAAATTGGTTCAACACCAAGGTCAAGTCATCGTTCTCCGAAGGTCCGAGGCATGTTCTCTTCCAGCTTGAGCTCCTGAGGAGTCAGCCAAGGAAGGTTGTTCAGATTGTGGAGCAGACTGTGAGGAGATCTTCCTGGTATGCTCATCCCGAGGCAGTTCTTCAGACAATGCTCTGCAGTAAGGATGAGGAGAGAAGAGTGGCAGTCAAAAAGATCTTGGATATGAGACTTATGAGAGGATCTGGGCATGACGAATCAGTTGGTGACGATTCCTTCAGGGTCAGGAAGACTCCTGAAGTCAATCTAGATGCCAAGACCCTCACTGATCTCATAGATCTGGATAACATCCAGGCTGGCAGTGAGCCCCCTCTTACCTGCAGCCTCACCAATGTTCAAGTCAGAGCTTTCCTGGACAACCCCATGCATGTCCCTGCCTGGCCCTCGCACACCCAGAGTATAGAGCGTTGTGTACAGCAAGTGAGCGAGGCCAGCAGTCACGTGTACAGCCAGGAGAGGAGGGAAGGCTACATCCGAGCTCAGGTGGTCAGCAGGGAGGTGATGAGTAGAAACAGAAGCAAGAAAGACATGTTCTCTATGGTGTGCAGCAACACCGGGTCGTAGTAGTAAAACCGGTTTTTGTATTTGATGATTTTGTTTTCTAAAGGAATATTAAATTTAATAAATGTGTCAAGATCATTCGTTTCACTATTCTGGATCATTTTCATCCTAATAAATTAACCTGATACATTTACTTTACTTTAAATAAGCTATTTAGTGGTGTTGGTAAAAGGGTGGGAATACTGAATTTTCATAAGATTTCAAGTTAAAATTTACCTAGCAAAAAATGAAAACTTTTCAAATCTGAAGATATCACATGATTCTGCACATAGAACTACATCATTAATACCATGGGCCGATTTTTCAAACTCAAAAAAAAAAAAAATTCGCCTCTGTATGACACACCCTAGTGGGGTATGCTATAACGAATCTAATTGGTTCTAGAACCTTGTTCGTTATAGCATTCGTTCGTTATAGGATTAATCCGTTCCAGGCCCCCAAATACAACCACTTAACACTGAAAAATATAATATAAAATTGTAAAAATTGTAAAAAAGTGCATAAATATGCATCTAAACCCCTGAAATAAAGAATATCATTAATATTTGTAATAAAAAAACAATAAATTAGAAAAAAAAATGAAATAATGTTCGTTGTAGGAGTTTCGTTCGTTATAGCATTCTCAATTTTATAGGTAAAACCGTTCGTTATAGGAATATTCGTAGTAGGATCCGTTCGTTATAGCATACCCCACGTATTAACTGTGAATATAGTAAAGAAGAATATCAACAAGAAGCGTTCTGGTGATAGAATTCCCGGTGATGATCGTAAAAGAAAGGATATAACACTTGAAGAGAAGCTCGATTTTATCAACCTCAAAATCACCCTTCTCCCCCATCAAGTAAAGTGTTACATTTACTGTATGATTTCATTATTAGATATGAATGTAACATTTATTTAGACTGTGCTATCCTTTGTGTTAGGCTAACTACTAAATTTTTTCGATTTCGAGTACAGTTGTACCCCACTTAACGCGGTCAATAGAACCCAGAGGGTCCCGTGTTAAGTGAAATCCGCGTTAAGTGAACAACAGAACATATGGGATTAATTCCAATAGAAACCGGCCCGACCCCCAAACTCCACTTTTTGAAGACACATAACTATGTTGTAGTAAAAATAACATCTTAATTTTATGATGGTACATGCACACAATTAATACTTAAGAGAAATAGAGAAATACAGTCGCCAAGTTAATGTCCATTCAAATAATGGACTCAACTCCCTCCCCCTCTCACACTACACTGCCGGCTCTTCCCTCTCTGAGAAATTTTTGGGGGAAAACCACTAAATTTTAATAAATAATACCTCAAACTAAAGTTAGGATAATACAATTGACATTGCTGGATTCCTTGTAAGACCAGGAATATTTTGAATATAAATGTCATATATTTTGCACAAAAGATAACATAGTTACTCAGAAAAATTTTTTATCTAAAATTTGTATGTCTAATGCAAAATATATGATGTTTATATTCAAAATGATCACCAAATTATAAGAATTCCAGCAATGTAAATTATATTCTGGCCGGGTAATTTGTATGAATTTTATGAGCTAAAACAAATATCTTCAGTTAATAAAAAAAAAATAATCTTCAGACACTATCTGTCAATCAAAGTACCCCACCTTGCCTTCCCCCTCTTCCAACCGCGCGGTCAGTCCCAACCCTCCCCCCCACCCCCCACCAATCATCCCTTCAAGAGAAGAGTGGGTGAAAAATTTAGATTTTAACATTTTGTATTAAATAATACCTCAGATTAAAGTTAGGATAATATAATTGACATTGCTGGATTCCTTGTAAGACCAGGAATATTTTGAATATAAACGTCATATATTTTGCACAAAAGATAACATTCTTACTCAGATTAAACATTTTATCTAAAAATTTTATGTCTAATGCAAAATATATGATGTTTATATTCAAAATGATCATCAAATTATAAGAATTCCAGCAATGTAAATTATATTCTGACCGGGTAATTTGTATGAATTTTATGAGCTAAAACAAATATCTTCAGTTAATAAAAAAAAAAAAATATTCTTCACGGGGTAACAGATGGTCGGTCGGTCCCTCCCTCCCCCCCACCCCCCACCAACCGTCCCAAGGAGATGTGTGGGAAAACCAGAATACTTAACTTTTTTGTAATAAATAATACCTCAAACTAAAGTTAGGATAATATAATTGACATTGCTGGATTCCTTGTAAGACCAGGAATATTTTGAATATAAATGTCATATATTTTGCACAAAAGATAACATAGTTACCCAGAGAAAAAAATGTTATCTAAAATTTGTATGTCTAATGCAAAATATATGATGTTTATATTCAAAATGATCACCAAATTATAAGAATTCCAGCAATGTAAATTATATTCTGGCCGGGTAATTTGTATGAATTTTATGAGCTAAAACAGGCAGTCAGGCAGGGTGGTGGGTGGGGCAAATCTAAAAATAGCGTCTCGAGCCGGACACTCACCGCGTATATGTGGAAAAAATCCGTGTTAAGTGAAAGTTCAGCTCTGGCGAGGCACCGCGTATATGATAAAACGCGTTAAGTGAAACCGCGTTAGGCGGGGTAATACTGTAATCTGCACCTAACCCTATTTACTCCATAAGCCCTGTTATTTCTATTACGCGATTTTCTATATCACGATATTTTACAAGAACACAATTATCGCGTTATAGCAGAACTACCTGTACATCTTGTATATTAATTATGTTGCAACCTTAATTAAAAATTTGCTTAATGTTTGATGTACCCGGTAATGAGATTCATTTTATCCTTACTTGGATTGTATAGAAAATTTAGGAAGGAATGGATGTTATAGACACACACACAACATAAGATGATTTTGATTGTTGTTTCAATAGAAATTTGTTCCATGAAAACACTTTTTGTGGCAAGGGCTTTCAATGAATGACCTGTAAAATATGCCATCATGCAACACACTCTATGTCATATTTAGGGCATGGTAATTCAGTGCTGGGGAGCATTATTCATACTAATAATATAATTACTGTAAATTATCTACTGAGGAGCCTCATTATATCATGGTTGTTTACATTAAAGCTTCTGTTTTGTTGTTGAATTTGTACTATAGTGGAGTCGTGATATTTCTCGGGTTAGATACCAGAAGACATTGTGAATTATCAAATGGCGAATTATGATTTCATTGATTTAAATGGAAATAATTGCTCATAAATGAGTGTACTACACTTCTGTAACCCAAACAAGCTGTCTTTCTCTCACAGAAACTTTGTAAAAGGCATGGATGATGTGCAAAAAATATGAAAAAACTAAGGAAACCCTACCCAGTAGCTACCAAAGAATGAGTGGCACACCAGTTACACAATCAATTCTGGAAGTTGAGAGCACATTTCCATCTCCATACAGTTTGACAATCCAGTACTATGCACCTAACAATCTAAAATTAGACACAGGCTGGCCAAAAACTGCTGGAACAAAATTTCAGAACTGGGTGACAAAAAATACAAATGGATGCTACACATTAGAGATGATGTACAGTAACTGCAGTATTTTCATAGGGGACATTATCTATTCCTATCATGAGCAGCAATGCACCAGTATAGTAGGAAGGGTGGTATGACAGTGCTTGGTCACTTGGTATCTAGCACATTAGTTTTACCATGTTTCCCTTTCTTGGAATTAAGAGGGTCAAGTGTGAATCTCTTGCATGACTGTAGGGGATTCAAAATGTGAATTAACTTCTTTGAGAGTTTTCAGATTTTGACCTGAAGCATACCAAGTCTTACACAACCTTTGGATCAGGAGGTTTTAACCCAGTTTCAGTGGGATGAGAAGCTGCTTGCAGTATTAAACAATCTTCTTAGACAGTATATCCTACCACTAAATACAAACCCACTGACAAAGGATCTGCCAGGAGTTGTGTACTAGTAGTATTCTCTTTATTTATAAAATGTGATCCACACATCCGTACTTTCTATATGATCTCTACCACTATTTAATCTCAGTTTCATTTTCACTTCTGTTTTAACCATATTTTAGGTGTAGCATTCTGAATCCTTAGTAGAGTTGGTTTAAGTGTTGTCTGCTGTTAGGGGCACTGAACCAGTCACTTACCATGCCAAGGCCCCAAGTTAAACTAATTTTCTTGCCTGTGTGTTTTTGCCCCACAAAGTGTTAGGAATGGCATAAATGAAGTGCTTATGTACAGGTACTTCAAATTTCATACAGGTGGTGAATAATTTGGGATCTCTCGCTGCTCGCCTTGTGTTTAGAAGTATTGAGACAGCAGCTTACAAGTACTTTGCTCAGATGGTGTATCGAGGAAAACCAATAAATGAAGAGGATCAGGTACGGAAATTTATAATGTTTTTGTATTTTATTTATTTATTTATTTAGTTATTTATTTTTTTTTTTTTTAGCTAGAAGTGTATAATATATGATTAATAGATGAATGTTGATAGTTTTTGTCTACCTGCATTACCTCTAAACCTTTATAGTAAATATTATTATGCCAGAAACCTTGGAATCATGACTATGATGTACAATACTGTATCCTCTAAAAGTTCGTTTGTTTCTTTTATATTAAACTAACCATATACTGTACCTATTTAGATACACAGGAAAGTAGATTATATGTTCAGAAGAATCAAAGAAATAAATTGAAGTCACAAAACTATAATATTTTCCTTTTGTTTTAAAATCTTTACCTTTTAGAATGAGTATTGGACCAGACAATTTCTGATGATTTTTAGTTTAAGCCACTCATGAAGTGACATGTCCAGATCCTGTGATTTAGGCCTATGTAAAGCTTTTCTTTTATCAACACCTCTCAGAAACTAAATCAAGGTTAAACCTTCCTCAACAAGTTCCCAAATATCCATCTGGTTTACCCCTAATGCTTCACACAAGCCAACATCATCCATTAGTAGCAAGTTTTACCCAAAACGTCTCTCACCACCAGGCATTTCTCTCATTCATGTATGCTGCTGATTCATAGATGTCCACCCCGTCACTCTTAATGTATCTTTCAATCTGTTCTATCTTTTTCCAGCATTTTTTTGGTCTACAAAGTATTTTTCACAGTTTTCAGTTTATTTTATGGTCTTCTACAGTAGAAATAGCAGGTTTTACATGGATTAAACTGCAGTATAGGTATTTTGTATACTGTAGTGCACTGAGCTGATGATTGGATGGTATTTACTCTGTATTTTTTTTTATAGTATAGAATTTTGTTGTTAGTTTTTAAAAAAAAATTTATTTGTCAGGAAAGAATAGCAGAGGTGGTAAGATTTTTAACTTCATTGATCCGCACGCTGCTGCTCATTAGCATCTTCATCCTAACATTTGGCTGGTCCTACTCAAGTCTGCTACTTGAGGTAAGTGACAAGGATATCATTAATCGAATGAATATTTATGTCAGTACTGTAATAATGTGTTTTTCTCTTTATTTACAACTTGGTTTTGGTCTAAGGAGATCTATGTATAATACAGGTCCACCACCGATTTTCCGGCACCCTTGGTTCCAAAGCCTTGCCGGATTATCCGTTTTTGCCGGACCAACCGAGGTCAGGTAATAATAATTCAACAATACACCTCTGACCCACTAATTATACACCTTCCGTGTCTCTAAAGCACCATGGACAGCTAGAAACTTAAACAAATATTTAATGTAAATTAAATGTGAAAAAGTCATAATTTTGAGCAACATTACTGTACACACTTTGTACTAAATTTACTACACTAGACTAAAAAAAATATCTCTTGTGTAAACTATGTGATGCTTATACTCAAATTTATCACTATCTTAAGGATTCCAGCAATGTAAGTTATATTCTGCTAAGTCTAGTCAGCTACATTTTATAAGATAGAAACGTTAAGCCTAAAACTACAGGTACCTTCACCTTGACGGGGAGGAAAGGGGAGGGTGAGGTGAGGTGAGGTGTTGACAGCTGTCGGGGAGGGGAGATAACGAAGTGAGTAGTTATCAAATAGAGGAAGTTTAAGTTTTTCCCTTATAAAATGTCACTCAATTGACTTTGCAGTGTATAACTTGCATTGCTGGTATTCTTGTAAGATAGTGATTAATTAAAGTACAAGCATCCCATAGTTTGCACTAGACATAAAATTTTTAGTAATTAACTTAGTAAATTTGAGAGTACAGGTTTGCCCTTAGGATAATTATTTCTTTTACTTTTTTCACAATATATATTTAGAATGGTGTGCATGCACATAAGTAAAAATAAATGAAGAAAGTTACATATATCTTTCCGAAAATATGAGTTGAAAAACCTGTACACAAATGTACTACACCGGACTAAAATTTTTTATCTCTTGTGCAAACTATGTGATATTAATACTCAAATTAATCACTATCTTACAAGGATTCCAGCAATGCAATTTATATTCTGCTAAGTCTAGTCAGCTACATTTGATAAGATAAAAACTTTTTTCCTAAAACTACCTTCACCCTGGCTGGTAGGGAGGGAGGGAAGTTAAGTGCCCTTTCGTAAATTTGTTTGGATTAAAAGAGGTGCCGGACCATCAGTTCCCGGAAAATCGGTGGTGTACCTGTATACCATTTAGTCTGGTTTACAACCCAGGCATCAACCCTCATTTGTAAAGGCCATCACTTATGTACAGCTCTAGTATATCTCTCCTACCATGACTGTTACCCTTAACATTTTGACAAGCTAGGTGGGTGGTAATGGCGGCATAGCTATCGGTAAGGCATTTGTAACTGTTAAGTACTGTACATAAAAAATAAAGTATATATACCGTTGGGCATTTAGATTTTGCTCCTGATCAAATTCGAAAGAAATCCATCAGGAAATATTAATACTACAGGTATCCCTTGAGATACAAATGGGTTAGGTTTAAAAGCAACCATTAATTACGTGAATTTTCGTATCTCGAATAGCAAAACATGGGAAAAATAGGGTTGAATTCCCCAATGACATAAATACCCCAATATCATACCCCCAAAACACAAATCGGTTCACAAACAAGAAAAAATAGTACACAACTACTGACCATTTTAGTACTGTACTTGCCTTAGTCATCAAAATGCTTGGATAGTAAAAAAAATAAATAAAAAAAAGCCTCTGTCTACAAGTAATATCATTCCACTGTATTTTTAAGCTAGTGGGGTTCCCAATATTTATCCTGAGAAATGGATACTATCGTACCTCTTATAACGAACAAGATACATTTACATTCTTGGGGATGGTCTGCTAAGTGAAATATCTGTTAAAAGAGGCCATTATAACATGGTGCTTATGGAGATGGGTTCTTGCTTATGGCAAAATTAATGAAAATGGTAAATAAATTCCTTTAAATACAGTACTACTGTTTTCTTACAGAATGACTAAATAATGATTAAATGTTCCAAAAGTATGTCTTAAACATTAGAAAAAAGGTGCAGTTACTTAGAAATTACGTGATTGGCTTAGAGGATGTAAATAGTAAATTGTTTTTGCTATGAAACCTTAATTATTATTATACAGTACAGTATTTATTAAATTAATATTATTTTCATGTCTGATAAACAAAAATTCGTTGGCCGAGGCTCCATTACAAGAGGTATGACTGTATTTGTCAGTCACATACTGTCTGAGGGTAGAATTTGGGAGGAAGGGATAGATTCTGGGAGATGCCAGAATCAACGTGGGTATAGTTTAAGGGGGGAGGGTATAATATGAGACCTTACACTGGGCCAAGGATTGAACCCAGGACACAGTACGGTAGTGAAAGACATGCATTATTGCTGTATAACCAACACCCCAGATAATGATTCTGGCTCACCAGAACGATAATTTCACATATGAATCAAGATCATCCAAATTAATTTTTAACAGATACTGATTTGGGCTTAGAGTATAGATGGTCAAGTGTTTTATTTATAAGATAGTGAGTAAATACAGAGGACTGGTAAATGATGTATGAAAATTATAGAAGTGTTATGTTAACTAAGCTTGTAAGTAAGATCTTGTTGAACGACCTAACATTATATCGATGTTAGATTAATGACTGGATTACTATAGTTCAGAGATTTTTTCATCTCTTTCAGCTGTATGGTGGTCGTCAGCTGAGTGAAGGGGGAGGGACACTACTGATGAGAGCACAGTGCTTCTATGTTATCTTCCTAGCCATGAATGGTATCACAGAAGCCTACACTTTTGCTGCCATGGATGATATACAACTTTCAAGGTTATAAATTGAAATTCGTTTTAGGTTTTGGATAGGACTGAAATTACAGAAAACTGATGAACAAGAAAAGTACAATTTACCATGACCAGAAGGATTGATATGTTCCAGCAACAGGTCACTGTTCCTTGGATAAGTATAAATTGCTGCTGAGCAACTCACAGCCCTGGAAACCAGGATTGAAGCAATGCTACAGATTCCTAGCCCAGTGTTTGCTTTGAGAGCCAGTAAATGTTCAAATACACTATATTAAAATCCTAAGGAAGATTTAACCTCAATCTTGATCCCAAAAATTTACAGTACAGAGGGGTAACCATACTTTTAACCCTCACATTTTTCTGGTGCTCTCCAGCCATGTGAACCTCCTCTAGGGAGCTCTCTGCTGCTTTTCTAGTGGATCAACTGGGAGAAGGAAGTGTTATATGACACTTTGTTATTACTGTATTAAGTTTGACTGCAAAGATTAAACATTTTGCATAAGACTAGTGGGTACCTCATGGTGTGTTAGTATGAGGGACTGATATTTCCAATGCATTGGGTCTAATGTGATGCCATGCATATCCACTCAGCCATACATTGTTTTATGGCTCTACCACTTTTGGTAATTTGAAGCAAACAGTTTTCTCTAACCACATTGGTCCTAATCTGAATAATGTAATTTATGCAAGAGTTGAGTCTTGCATATAATTTTAGACAACAATACTGTACAGTACAATATTGGTTATTTCTTTGGAAAGTGTTGTACCATAAACTTTTGATTTCAACTGAATGGGGGAAGAGGGGTTGGATTAACCCAAAATTCAAATTAAAAGAGTAAAATTTACATACTGTTTTCAGTACATATATATGTCTGCAAAACAAAAATTTATGTTAGCACCACTGGTCAAACATGTCAGTTTATGTGAGCTTGGTAAGCAAGGTGAGTCAGTCAGTCAACAATGAGAATGAGCTCCCTGTGAGTCAGCCAGAGCAGTAATAATATGGGAATAGCAGAGTGTACTTGCATTCAGTGACCTCATCTAAGTTTATCATACATACACACACTGTTCTTGTGAGTTTAAGGCACTTACCGAAGGATAACTTGTAATGATTGGTAGGAATTGGGAGAGAGTTATAACCAGAGAGAAAAAGAGAAGACAAGAGAAATTCATTACGTATTATTAGAATTACAAAAAACATTGCCTTTTTATTGTAACACCTATTTTCAGCAAATAGAATTTGAACTTGAATATGAGGAGTACGCATTGCTGCTGAAATGTTGGATGGAGGCTTTTAGTTGCAGATAGAATATGTAAAAGCCTTGCCAGCTTTTATGCCATTGGAATGCAGTTCAGCACCCTAGACACCTATGTCAACTGATCATTGCTGGGTATACGACTTAACATTGGTTCCTCAAGTTTCCATCTGTTAACATCAGATGTCCTTTTTGTTTCATCTAAGTTTAAAGTTGGGTTCACATTTTTTTCTTAAGGAAACTTTATCAGCTTATCTTTACTATGCTGCATATCACTGACAATATTATTACACCCAAATTCTGTCACAACTAATTGACAATACAGTCAACCCTCACTTTACGCGGTCCCACATTCCGCGTTTCCACGTTTAAGCGGTGCCCTGCCGGAACCTAACATGCTCACATTCCGCGGTGCGTGTACCCCATTACGCGGAGAGCGGCTGGCGAGCCGCGCCATTTTTGGATCCAAACCTCCCGCCATCCGCCATGTTGTGTAAGCGGCGCGAACATGGTGCGCACAAGGTCGGCCAGTCATCAAAACATTACCAGTTCTTCACCCGCCACCCACCACAGCTGGCCCAAGTCAGTGATAGTGATAATTATAGTGAGGATATGGACTTATATGAACTTTGGGGGGTTTGACAAAGAGGCCCTGCAAGCCTCTGTGGTGGATAGTGATACAATTGATACAAGTGATACAGGTGAGGGCCAATAATCTGCCCTCTGCCTCGGAACCAACCCCCCATCCCCGTGTGCCCAGCCATCTTTTCTACTAATGTAAGTGTTAAAAAACCTAATATTATTGATATTTCTCTTAATTATTAATTGTGTGTGCATACCATCATAAAGTTAAGATAATATTTTTACTACAACATAGTTGTGTGTCGTCAAAAAGTGGAGTTTGGGGGTCGGCCCGGACTCTATTTCAATTAATCCCATATGTTATGTTATTCACTTTACGCGTTCCTCACTTTCCGCGGCGCCCTGTGGGTTACATTAACCGCGTAAAGTGAGGGTTGACTGTACACCTTTTTCAAATTTTTTAATAAATTTTATTTTTTATTACTGGCTTAAACAGATTTTTTTTATTTGAATTGGAACTTAACACTTTACCACACGGGCAATACGCCGGGAGTCAGTCCTCCTCTCATACTGGCTCAGTTGCCAGTTAATGATTCAGTGTTCCCGTCTGGTCGAAGGTTTATGTATACAGTGAACCCTCACTTTACGCGGTTAATTGAACCCTCGTCGGCCCGTGTAAAGTGAGAAACACGTAAAGTGAACAACATAACATATGGGATTAATTGAAATAGAGACCAGGCCTACCCCCAAACTCCACTTTTTCCCGACACAATACGTACGTTTTACTAAAAATAACATCTTAGCTTTATGATGGTATTCACACACACATAATATAGAAGGGAACAATCAATAAGAGAATAATATACTGAAGGTTAGGTTAGAAAAAAACAAGGTTGGGGTTAACACTTAAGTTAGTAGAAGAGATGGGTCGGCGTAGAGGAATGGAGGCTGGTTCCGAGGCAGAGGGCAGGCTACTGGCCCTCAGGTGAGACTTCATCGTTGTCATCCACACTTACTAGTGCCTCCCTGACAAATCCCTCAAAGTCATCATCACTGTCTCTGTCACTATCACTGGCTTGGGCTGGCTGTGGTGGGTTGCGGGCGAAGAACTCAGTTATGCTTTGCTGACGGCTGGTGTTTATGTTGTCGTGATAAACCTTGATGTAGGGCTCCATAGTCTGCAACAGCTGGGTAGTGAAAATTTCATACCTGTTAGCGTCAGGGTCGTAGGAAAGGAGGAGCTTGACTTTCTCAATACACTCGATGGCACCCCTTACATTACTATGGGATAACTGGCGTTCTTCTTGGGATGACGCACCACCTGCCTCTTCACTGATGTCATCAACATCTACCATCTCGTCGGTAGTCACATCAGGATCCCTTATCACCTCCAGGATGTTGTCGTTGGTGGTCTCGGAGAAGCCTGCAGCTGTAACACTCTGCGCAGCTTCTCTGGCAAGATCCACTGCTACTGCAACAGTCTGAACCTCACCAGTCACAGATTTACGCTGCCTAACACCCGGAATACCTTGCAACACAAGTCTCCATGCGTGACGAACAGTTGCTACAGACAGCTGATCCCATGCCTCCACCAAGAAGTCCACAGCTTTCTTGACGTTGAATGTTCTCCAAAATTGTCTCACATGTACTTCTTGCTCTGCCAACTGTTGATCCTCGTCGTCTTCGCTCTTGCCATCGGTGTTGGTGTCACTCAGGTTACGCAACTCTTCCTTGGTGTTGGTGTAGTCGTTCAGGAGCTTGAATTTCTTGGCAGAGAATGCAGCTTTTACATTACAGATCAATTCTTGGTCCATGGGCTGTATTATAGACGTAGTGTTGGGAGGAAGGAAGACCACTTTTACGTTGGGGTGACGATCTAACAGTAGGGGCGAGTGTCCTGGTGCGTTGTCAAGCAGCAACAAAATCTTGAATGGAACATTATGTTGCTCACAGAATTTCTTAACGTCAGGAACGAAACAGTCATCAAACCAGGAGAGGGACAGAGTAGAGAACATCCACGCCTTACGTGCGGTCAGCCAGTGGACATTTAGCTTGGTCATGTCCATGCTCTTGTAGGCGTGTGGCTTGCGTGCTGTGTGGATCACCGATAACTTGAGCTTACAAGTACCGGAGGCGTTGGTGGTAAACAGGACGGTGATGCGCTCCTTCTGCAACTTCCGGCCCCGACACTTGCTGGCATTCTTCACAACGAAGGTCTTGGAAGGTAGCTTTTTCCAAAACAGACCAGATTCGTCCATGTTAAACACCTGGTCGTCGGTGTACTGTCCTTCCTCCATAATCTCACGTAAAAACGGAGGAAATTCCCTAGCCGCAACACAGTCAGCACTAGCTTCTTCACCACCAATGTTGATATTGGTGATCTTGTTCCTCTTCTTAAACCTCTGTAACCACCCAGAGGAAGCATTAAAGGGTTTGGGCTCTGCAATTCCCATCTTTCGTGACACTGCAGCCTGACGAACCAAGTAGCTCACAAGTAATTTTTCCGTCTTGAGAAGCACCTGTAGACTTTGTGATGTTCATGTGCTCCTTTATCTTGGCTGCATCTTTCTTAATTGTCCTGATAGTTGATTCGTTAGTGCGAGATCAACCTGTCTTGTTCCTTTCTCCAACTCTTGTATGATCTTATATTTAATTTCGTAGCTTAAGGAACATCGTGTCTTCTTTGGCTTAGGGCGGCTGGGTCCAGGTAATGCAAGGTTTCTTTGTGGTGGTGGTGGTCCGGTGGAAGCCATTCTTATGGAATAATGGATACCGATATACACGGTGTAGCTGGGAGGGGTGTAACTGACGCAGGTAGGTCAAGGGGCTTGAACGCTCCCGCGGCGGGGCACGTCATAGTACATTAAACCAATCACAGCTAGCGGGGAGGGAGGTAAGGGTGCTTTGTCCAATCACAGTCCGATGCGTCATATGACGTCACCGATAACGCAACAAAGACATACACTGCGCAACCTACTCGCGCCGCTTGCACAACATGGCGGGAGAGATGGCGGGAGGTTTGGATCCAAAAATGGCGTGGCGCAAGAGGACCGCCAGCCGCTCTCCGCATAAAAGGGTACACACACCGCGGAAAGTGAGCATTCCGTGTTCGGCAGGGTACCGCGTAAACGTGGAAACGCGTAAAGTGAAACCGCGTAAAGCGAGGGTTTATTGTACTGTACTGTACTGTAGTCAGCACTATAATATAGGTCAGAATCTTTCAAAGCATGACATTACAGGAGAAGGCTATAAACTGTGCTGATGGAAAACAAATAGAGTAGAACTGAGACTGGTTTGAGCAACAAGTGAAAAAATTTAAATTTATAGAATAAGAAAAGTAAGATATTGTACTTTGTCCAGATAATTGGGGCTGATGGGATAATGGGGATCACACGAAGATAAGGTACCCCAGCTTATTTCTCCTGATGATTAAACACTTTAATACTACCGAGGGAGCTTAGCTTAGCTTAGGTGAATGTTTGGGTGTTTATTTATCTGGTGATATAATAGGGTGCCTAATCGTCACTTGATCTGATAATTATTATCACATTTTTAGGTAAAATTTAGGGTAGGTGAGCAGAAACTGGGATGGATGCACGATATTAAAAGCTGGATCCCCAGAGAGATGCAAATTCTGAGAGGATTATTAAAGACATACCCTGATTGATTGATTGATTGATATTTTTCAGTTAAGCACATTGTTTATTGATGTCTTGATGTCCAAGTTGAAACGTTTGGGTATCTTAAAAAGAAAAAAAAGGTACTGGTAGGTTTTCACTGTCCATTAACTGAAATGTAATCATGGTGTTAATATTTTTTTTTTTTTCAGATACAACCATTTCTTGGTATTGTTCTCAGCTGCTTACATTGGAACAGCAGTCATCTTTACACAGATATTTGGTCCCCTTGGTTTTGTTCTTGCTAATTGCATAAATATGGGCCTTCGTATAACATACAGGTAACTTTTTTGTGTTATTATTCTTTTGGACTTGAGTAATCTGATCAGGTGTAGGAAACTCTACCGGGCTGAACTGATTTAATAAATGGCTTTTAAGACCTGAAGTTGATCTCAGTGCACATTGATATGCACAGTCAGTCACTTTCTTAGATAAAGGCCTTAGCCAACCAACAGCTGCTTACCATACAGAGGCAATTCCCCATATTGCCTCTAATATTAACTTAAGTTTAATGTACTTAAAAAAGATTCCCTACAAAGCTAGTAAATTTGTTGCACCTGCAAATCTCTTCAAATGTCCTAGATACTTGTGTATCCTTATATAACGGATGTACCAATTTCTCTCCTCATATTTTATATTACAGTACAGTGGTCCCTCGATTAACGAACACAGTTGGTTCCACAGAGTTGGTTGTTTACTGAAAATTTTGTTAACTGAAACTATTATTTCAATGGGATATTGGGTAATTGGTTCCAACTCACAGAAAAAGTACATACAAAGTATAAACAAAATACAGTACAGTACAGTACTGTACACTTACTTTGACATGTGTATGTATAATGTTGCTGGTTGATGATGATGATGATGATGGGAATTAGAAGTGGGGGTGAAGGAGGAAAAGGGAGAAGAGAAGGAAGTGGAGGAGGAGGAGAAGGGAGAAGAGAAGGAAGTGGGGGTGGAGGAGAAGGGAGAAGAGAAGCATTTTAATGCTTCTTGGAAGATGAGTCACCATCCATTATAATGTTAGGAACTATTGGACTGACAGATTCTCTAACATGAAAATATCTCCTTTTTGGAGAGGAACACTGAGGGGAATCATCTTTCCCATGCTGCCTTTTAGAGAAGAAGCTGTCAAGTGTTAGTTGTGTGGTATTTCCCCTCCTGATCATAAGCTGGTTCTTGAAGAAGGAGACCACTTTTTCCTCCATGGCACACAACAGGTTCTGTTGTTTCCACATCAGGGTGCCTTGAAATCAGTTTCCTAAACATCTCCCAGTGGTGAACAATATCTTTTAAGTCTGAAGAAGACATTTGGTCATCACTTTCCTTTTCCTCCTCACCACTGTCTGTTGTTAAGCATCTCATCCAGTTGTTTCAAATCTTTAGGAGAAAGTTCCTGCTCATGAGACATCACAAACTCTTCAGCATCCTCCTCCTCCACTTCGAGTCCCATTGACTGACCAATGGACACAATCTCCTTGTCCAACTCTGCTTCTTCCTGAAATCCCTCAAAATCATGGAATGCTGATGGCCACAGTGCTTTCCATGCAGAATTCAGGCATCGAGTAGAAACTTCTTTCCATGCTGACACGGATGTTGTATTGCGTCTTCCAGAACTGTGCCAGTGATAGATCAGGATCAGTGGTAGTTGCCTGATGACACCTAAACATCATCTTCATAAACAGCTTCTTGAAGTTGCTGATTACATTTTGGTCCATTGGCTGCATAGTTGTTGTAGTGTTGGGAAGCAAAAACAAAACTTTGACAAAGTCAAATCTAGCCTCCAAAGTGCTGGCAAGTTCAGGGTCATGACCAAAGGCATTATCCAGAAGGAGAAGAGCTTTTAAAGGAAGTTTACTGGTTGTGAGATAACTCTTCATAGTAGGGCAAAACACCTCAACTGGCCATTCATTAAAGAGCTGTCTAGTTACCCGTGCCTTGCGGTTCGACTTCCAATAAACCCCAAGTTGTCCTCTTACCACCTTTTGTTGCTTGAACACCCTGGGGTTCTCGGAGTGTTATACAGTGGGGTATGCTATAACGAATCTAATTGGTTCTAGAACCTTGTTCGTTATAGCATTCGTTCGTTATAGGATTAATCCGTTCCAGGCCCCCAAATACAACCACTTAACACTGAAAAATATAATATAAAATTGTAAAAATTGTAAAAAAGTGCATAAAGATGCATCTAAACCCCTGAAATAAAGAATATCATTAATATTTGTAATAAAAAAACAATAAATTAGAAAGAAAAAAAAATTAAATAATGTTCGTTGTAGGAGTTTCGTTCGTTATAGCATTCTCAATTTTATAGGTAAAACCGTTCGTTATAGGAATATTCGTAGTAGAATCCGTTCGTTATAGCATACCCCACTGTACGAGCATAGGCTTCAATTTGAAATCCCCTGAAGCATTGGCACCAAGCAATAGAGTGAGATGGTCCTTCATGGGTTTATGCCCCAGTAAAGCAACTTCATCTCTGGTGATGAATGTCCTTTTGGGCATTTTCTTCCAGAACAGCCCAGTTTCATCCACATTGAAAACTTGCTATGGAATTTAATCCTCTTCATCCATCAGTTTCTTGAATTCTGCTAAAAAAAATTTCAGCTCCTTCTTTATCCGCACTGGCAGCTTCACCATGCCGAACAACATTATAAATGGCAGTTCTTTTCTTAAACTTATCGAATCAGCCCTTGCTGGCCTTAAAGTCTTCAAACACAGTGTCAGAAGAACTAGGTTGATCTTCCTTCAAATATTCATAAATTTTCCTGGCTCTTTCAAAAAATGAATTCAGTAGAAATGGAATCTCCTTTCATTTCTTTTTCTTTAATCCAAATAAGAAGTAACCTCTCTGTTTCTGCAATTAGTGATCTACCTTTAAACACTTTGGTAGAATTATCTCTCACTTTCACTGCTTTAAATTTGTCTTTCTACGCAATAATTGTAGACACAGTTGATGCCGACCTGCCATATTTTTTACTCGGTACATTGGTTCTAATACCTTCTTCATGTTTCTTAATAATTTCCTGTTTCATTTTAATTGAAATTGCCTTTCTAGCTTTTTTTGGACCCATGGTTGACACAGTAATTTCACCAATAAATTTTTAATTCACTACCTGTAATTAAAGATTATTTTATTTAAATCAACACTGCAATATGTTAACTAAATTTCATAATGACCAATAATTTTAATGCAAAAATGTAAAAAATATTCAAGAGACCAACAAACTCGGATGTTTCCTCCACTGTAAACAAAGCTAAACAGAGAAGTTTTGGCGGGTGAGTCAATCGGCTGATGGGCGCACAAAAAACTAGTTCCCTGTACTGTATATATTATCAATATGTTAACTAAATTTTAGAATGACCAATAATTTTAATATAAAAAATGCAAAAATATTCAAGAGCACAACTTTCTTGATATTTACTCCACTGGAAACGAATGTAAACATAGAACTAATTACTGTATGGGCGGACTAGCCGATCAGCTGATGCGCACAACAAAGCTTGTTTCTCATAAGGCTGTCGTTAATCGAAGTTTTGTTCGTTAATGGAACTGAAAATCATTATGGGAGGTAATTCGTTAACCAAAATTTCGTTAATTGAGGGGCCACTGTACAGGTGTTCATTTCTTTACAGCTGTTGGTTCATTCACAAACAATACCAAGGGAGCGAGTACCAGCCACTTAGTTCTGTATACATAACTCCAAGAATCATCATGCTGTTTTCTTTTGCCCTGGTTTTCACAACAATTTCTGAGGTAAGCTTATCTGTGTTGCATATTTTAAATGTATGACTTTATGTGATGAATAGGTATTTATAAATTAAATAAATAACTTTTATTTTGACAGTTGAACTTAAAGCCACGCTACTCATGTGTTACAAGCTATCACATATAGCATGTACAAAAGCAATTATGATGTCATGCAATCAGTGCTTTTGTATTTCCAGAAAGATGAGTGTAAGAATCTGAAACCTGTAGATTAGAGACCAAATTCTAAACTCACTGCTGCTAATTTTGCTTGATGAATGGTTGTACTAATCTTAATCCTTAAAGTTTAAGAGCTAAGTACAGTATCTGCCTACATCATATAGGAGGAAGATCCAGACAATCTTCAGGTCCATTATGAACTTGATCACTAAGTATAATCATGAGAAATTAAAACTTTTAACTGTAAAGTTAGAACAAGGGAATGTCAGCAAGGGAATTGATGAAGGATTAGAGTTTTGATTCTCATTCTGTGACTTAAAACTCCTTACTGTAATGAGTAACATGTAAGATCCATACTACTAGACATTCCAGGGATGCAAATTCATCACTTTTATCAAGACAATAATAATAATAATAATAATAATAATAATAATAATAATAATAATAATAATAATAATAATACTTATTCAGTAAAATTGTCATTGAGGTTTACAATTGGTTTGGCATGTGCAGTATATAGACTATGCAGGCATACAATTCAACATGCATATAAACAATACAGGTACAGTATGTGGTGTACATAAACCATGGAGATATACAGCTCCAAACAAAGCTATCAGATGGTTATTTCTAGTAAAGTCCTTTAGTATTTCCAGTAGAATTTAAAATTTACTACCCTTGAACAAAAAAAAAATTCCAACATTGACATTTATTAGGTACAGTATGGTACAATATATAGAAAGCTCTATTTACTTGATACCTGTATTCATTATTCATGTTATGTACAGTAGAATGTCAATTTAAAGCGATTCAATTTAAGATTATTGATTTAAAGCGACACCCACAATTAAGGACAATGTTTTAATTTAAAGCGAATCTTTCCTATTTTGCGTGAGTCAATCTGGTGCATCATATTTAAAATTTTGCACCTAATGTTTTTCTGGGCACGCTGCACTGTCCTGAGGGCGAAGCTGTATTGTACATGTACTCAAAATAATGTACTAAATGATTACTAAAATTTTTGTCGAGTGCAAACTATAGCATGTTTATATTCAAATTAATCACTATCTTATAAGCATTCCAGCAATATAAATTATATTCTCCCCGGTCACTTTTGTGACATTTTATAAGGAAAAAACATAAACTCAAGCTCAAGGACATAAATAAACAAATACAGTGAACCCTCACTTTACGCAATCAATTGAACCCACGGCGGCCCGCGTAAAGTGAACAACATAACATAAGGGATTAATTGAAATAGAGACCGGGCCGACCCCCAAACTCCACTTTTTCAGACACAATACCTACGTTGTAGTAAAAATAACTTCTTAATTTTATGATGGTATGCACACACAATTAATAATTAAGAGAAATATCAATAATATTAGGTTTTTTAACACTTACATTAGTAGAAAAGATGGCTGGGCACACGGGGATGGGGGGTTGGTTCCGAGGCAGAGGTCAGATTATTGGCCCTCACCTGTATCACTTGTATCAATTGTATCACTATCCACCACAGAGGCTTACAGGGCCTCTTTGTCAAACCCCTCAAAGTCCATATAAGTCCATATCCTCACTATCATTATCACTTTCACTGACTTGGGCCGGCTGTGGTGGGTGGCGGATGAAGAACTCAGTAATGTTTTGATGACTGGGCGACCTTGTGCGCACCCTGCTCGCGCCGCTCTCCGCGTAAAAGGGTACACACACCGCGGAAAGTGAGCATTCCGTGTTCGGCAGGGTACCGCGTAAACGTGGAAACGCGTAAAGTGGGACCGCGTAAAGCGAGGGTTGAGTGTAAATACTTCACTAGACCTTCGGTGCCAACTGTCAAACATGTCACTGTCACTTTCCCTCCCTTAAGTTATTTATCTTATATAATGTCACAGACTAAAGTTAGAATATAATTTGTATTGCACGAATCCTTGCAAGACAGCGAATAATTTGAATATATACGTCAAATATTTTGCACAGGAGATAAAAAAATTTTGCTCTGTAATAAAATTCTTAAATTAGAACTAAAATTTGTATGTCTAATGCGAGCTGTAGCATTTTATATTCAAATTAATTACTATCTTATAAGAATTCCAGCAGTGTTTAATATATTCTCCCATGTCAGTTCAGCGACATTTTATAAGATAAAAACTTAAACTCACTTTTGAGGACAGATAAATAAATAAGCACTAGACCTTGGCATCAACTGTCAAACATATCACCTCACCTCCCTCCCTTCCCCCTATCTTCCCAGCCAGTAAACAGACCATTTCACATCCCTTAATTTTAGCTGTGTTGATTTATGAGTGTTTGTTTTAACATAATACAGTACTACAAAAAGCAATGTTTTGTTTATTCTAGGAGATGGGCTGAGGTGCATCTGGGTAGACTCAAGGTCTTTTTAGTATTTTGTGTTTCACTCAAGTACCAAACTAAATTATTCCATTGAAACAACACTTCGATTTAGTGCGAGTTCTGTTTAAAGCGACCTCTCTTGGACGCGTTAAATCGACGTTCTACTGTAATAGTTAGTACCAGAAACAATATAAACCAGAAGTCAGTATAATAGTAGAATAAGTGTGGCACATCTAGATAAAACTTAATTTATTACAAGCAACTATTTATTTTATGGCATTTGTAGCAATGTCATAAAGCCAGTCAAACTCAACATACCAGGAGGTATGAAACAATCTGATGTTGACTGGACATTTGTCCACATGTCAGACAACCCTAGTTGATGATTCAAGATAGGTCCCGTCTACCCATAATAATTTCACTGACTGCCAGTGGTAATCAAAGTGTACACCTTGTAAATCAGGCATGAACCACATATGGTGTACTGTCAGTACAAGGCAAGGGGTCAGGGTATAGGACAGGGCAAGGGATCGGGGTAATGTATTATTCAGTTGTGCTTTGTGCTTGAACTTGTCACCACCATCAACTAATCCACTTTTCCCAGTATAATGGCCCCCTTGTTATGGTATAAACTGTGTACAGTATTTCTTGTATTTTATTTCAAAATTAAAATTATTCTTGAGTGAGGTGAACCATTCATTTCAGAAATATTAAAAAATATAAAATGGTTCAGTCATTGTTCCAGCACAATGTGGAATATATAGCTTTCCATATGAATGATAGTCAGCCAATAAATGGCATCATGGCAACAGAGTCCCATATGATGACAGCCAGTCTGGAGACAAGAGAACCACAGAGTTCTCACATAATTGTTAAGTGTTGATTATTAGCATAATTAATAACCTGGTTACATACTTAAAGGCCTTAGTTGCTGAAGCACAGCAACAAACAAGAGATGAGTGCAGTATGTAATGACCACAAGTACCTCCTTTCACACACATCTGCTTTTTTCAACTACTGTCTTGCAGAGGAAAATATACTGGAGTGATTATTATTATTTTTATTTAATTTATATATTTATTTTTTTATGGGAAGAGGGAGGAATTCAATGAATAAAGGAAACAGTGAGAGAGAGACAAAGATGAAAAGTTAATGAAAGACAGTGAAGAAAGGAATGAGAGATAATTAAAGTACATAATGTTAATTAATTTCATTTTAGAAAATGTAATGAAATCTCTGAAAATAGAACAAACTGCATATAAGATGATAGTACGTATTTTACTGCATATAAGACACACTTTTTTGTTTGAAAGATGGCTAAAAAAATCAGCCTGCATCTTATACGTGAAGTTGTGGTCTCCCGTAAGCTAATGAATCCCCCAGTCGCTCTCTCCAGCAGGCTAAATTCTACCTAATCCAATTACAAAATTTAAAATATGTTATTGTTTGCTTGAACACATTATTATTATTTTTAATTACAGTAAGATCTCATATTTCGCGCGATTTCATTTCGCGAGCACTACCTAATGTAACCAAGTCTTATATTTGGCGTAAAATATCGTGAATTTCGCGAGATCCAGCATTGTTTTAAGCGTGGCGCTGGGTTATGCAATGTTTACAGTTCATGTTCGACATCATATGTTCAATTGATTCATGTCTTTTGTTTGTGAAGTGTTTTTTGAGAGGTACTCTGTAAATTTCGTTCTTTTTTTTTTGCAAATTTAGGCGTTACCCATAAATTCTGTATAAAAAGAATAAGTAAAGAGAATGTTTCGCAGTGAATACTAATAACGGTTTACACCAGCGCTCTATTTACACCACGTGGTTGAATCGTGCGGTTTCTGTCGATTGCTCCGTGATTTTTGCTGTTTTTTCCAATTTTTTTGTGTTAGCGATGAATATGGAAAGAGAAGGTAAGAAGAATGTTTCCAAGAAGTGTTCTGGTGATTGAATTGCCAGTGGTGAAAGTAAAAGACGTTTACAAGAATGCAACTATCTCGTTGTAGCCCGCGCCATTCTAGCGACCGCCCGGGCTGCTATTGTGTGCATTTTTGGGTGGTGCTACCACCTGTCGAGTCAAGATAATGGCCTCTACCTCTACTGGGGGTCCTACTGGTGCTGGTGGGGGTGGGACAGACCCACCTAAGCGGCCAAATAAGGAAAAGGAGAAGCGGGATAAGCAGCGTGTGTTTAAGTTACTTGAGGAAGGCCTAAAAACTAGTGAGATAAGAAAGATTACTGGTTTTCCGGAAAGCACAATCAGGTCAATAAAGGCAGAATTTGTATCATTTGGAGGTTATAAATGGGAAAATCAGAGGTTGATGTAGAGTGGCCAGTCTATATTGTTATTTTTCCCATTAGTTTATGTATTTGCATTTGGCGAATTTGAATTTGGCACAAATTTTCCAGTCTATGTTACTCGCAAAATACAAGATCTTACTGTAATTGAAAAATAATTATTGTAAATATAAAAGATTGAT